CTAACTCAGACTCACTCATCACTCATACCCACTCATCACTCAGACTCACTCATCACTCAGACCTACTCATCACCCGGACTCAGCCATGACTCAGACTCATCACTCGTCAATCAGACTCACTCATCACTCAGACTCACTCATCACTCAGTCTCACTCATCACTCAGATTCACTCGTACTTGTACTCACACATTCACTACACTCACTCAGGTCCACTCATCGGATGACTCACACACACTGATGTTGAGGATGTCTCAGGCGATTCTGTGGCTTCAGCACTCCTAAGGGGAGCGGCGGGGAGGTATTTCCCTCGGCCCCTTTCGCGGGATTTTGTGGGGATGTCTCAGGCGGTTTGGCCATTTCTCTTCCAACATGTTTCGCTTTCGGAGCAGTTCGCGAGGATGTCTCAGGCGATTCGCTGGCTTCAGCACTTAAGGGGGGCGGCGGGGGGAATTTCCCTCGGCCCCTTTCGCGGATGTTTGTGGGGATGTCTCAGGCGGTTTGGCAATTTTCTCTTCCAACATGTTTCGCTTTTCGGAGCAGATTTAGAGGAGGAGGAGGAGGAGGAGGAGGAGGAGGAGGAGGAGGAGGAGGAGGAAGAGGACCCTCCCCCCCTCAAGGAAGGAGGAAGGAGGAGGATTGAATGAGGATGAAGGACCAGGAGTGAAGGAGGAGGAAGGAACAGGACCAGGCAAGGAGGAGGAGGAGGACAGGAAGGAGGAGGAGGCAGCGACCACGGAGGACGAGGAGGAGGATGTAGGAGGATCGGCAGGGGAAGGGCAAGGAAGACACGGGCACATTCTGGTCTCTACACTCATCACCCTTACCTAACTTGTCTGTCACATCCATCCGACGGGGTGAGGATTTAGAGGAAAAAAGAGAAGGAGGAGAGAGGAGGAGGAGGAAGGAGGAGAAGGGGAGAGCCAGGTGGCTGAGGGGGTGTAAGGGGAGGAAGCAGGTGGAGCTAGTAGGTCATTGGAAGGAGGAGGAGGAGGAAGGAGGACCAGAGGAGGAGGAGAAGGAGGACCAGGAGGAGGAGGAGGAGGAGGACCAGGAGGAGGAGGAGGATGAGGATGAGGAGGAGCAGGATTAGGAGGAGGAGGAGGCAGGGGAGGCAGGAGGACGGCAAGTCTTCTCTCTTCCTCTGTCCTTCATCCTGCGACGGATGAGGAGGAGGAGAAGGAGGACCAGGAGGAGGAGGATGAGGAGGAGGAGGGGGAGGGGGACCAGGAGGAGGGGGGAGGATGAGGAGGAGGAGGAAGAGGATTACTCGACGCGGGGCTCCCCATATGTGCATCCCATTCCCTTGGTAAGTCTTTCTCTTGATATCTGTCAATGAGCGCCAGTGTGCGGGGGCGAACCGCTCGCTCGAGACATTCCCACAGTCTGCAAGCATGAGTGCGACCAATAGCAAATCTGAGAGCGACTGATTCTGGGTGTGACTTAATCTGGGTGCGATTGAGCCTGGGTTTGAGTGGGTATGCGTGTGAGCAAATATGAGCGCGAGTCCGTCTGTGTGCGAATGGGTCTGAAAATGCACGAATCTGAGTGTGAGCCAGTCTGTGATTGAGCGGATCGTAGCATGATGAGTCTGAGCATGAGTGAGTCTGGGCTTGAGTGGGTCTGGGTGTGAGGAAAACTGCGTGTTAATGAATCTGAGTGCGAGTGGGCCGAATGTGATTGGGTATGGATGTGAGGCAGTCTGAGTGTGAGCCGGTCTGCGTTTGAGCGGACCGAAGGATGATGAGTCTGAGCAGGAGCGAGTCTGAGTATGAGTGGTTCTGAGCGTGAGTCTGAGTGTGAGTAAGTTTAAGTATGGATATGAACGAATCTAAGTGCGAGTGAGCCTGCGTGTGACTGAGTCTGAGTATGGGTGAGTATGAATGCAGAAGAGTGAAGGAGACCGGAGGGCGAAGGAGAGTGAGGCGGAAGCGTTCGAGTAAAACCTAAAACTTTGGAGCCTCGAACCTCGATCGTCTGGCCCTGGCTACTCGACTTGCCCACGTCCTCCTCCTCCTCCTCCTCCTCCTCCTCCTCATCATCATCACCATCATCATCACCATAATCCTCCCCTTCCTGCTTCTGCTCCTACCGTGTTCATGCTGTCCTCCTTCTCCTCTTCCTCCTCCTCCTCCTCCTCGTCCTCTTCCTCCTCGCTTCCTCCTTTTCTTCCTCCTCCTTCTCCTCTTCCTCCTCCTCCTCCTCTTCCTCCTCCTCCTCCTCCTCCTCCTCCTCCTCCTCCTCCTCCTCCTCATTGGGAGTGCTGAAACCAGCAAATCGCCTGAGACATCCTCCCAACATTGCTCCGAAAACGACAGATGCCCAGCATCATAACGGCCAAACCGCCTGAGACGCCCCCGCAAACTGGGCGCGAACGTCCTCCAAATCTGCTCCGAACGCGAAACATGTTGGAAGAGAAAATGGCCAAACCGCGTGAGAAATCCCCACACAATCCAGGGAAAGGGGCCGAGTGAATTACCCCCCCGCCGCTCCCCTTAAGAGTGCTGAAACCAGCGAATCGCCTGAGACATCCTCCAACATCTGCTCCGAAAGCGAAACATGTTGGAAGAGAAAATGGCCAAACCGCCTGAGACATCCCCACACAAGCCGCGAAAGGGGCCGAATGAAATACCCCCCCGCCGCTCCCCTTAGGAGTGCTGAAACCAGCGAATCGCCTGAGACATCCTCCAAATCTGCTCCGGAAGCGAAACATGCTGGAGGAGAACAAAAAAAACAAGACCGTTTGAGACATCCCCACAAATACTCGACGCGGGGCTCCCCATATGTCATGATGGCCGCGAACCGAACCGAGAACCGAGAACCGGGTCTGGAACCGAACCGGCCGAACCGAACCGGCCGGCCAAACCGAACCGGCCGAACCGAACCGGCCCGCTGTGCGAACCGAACCGGCCGAACCGAACCGGCGGAAACCGAACCGGCCGAACCGAACCGGCCAACCAGGCGGAACCGAACCGGCCGAACCGGACCGGACCGGCGGAACCGAACCGTCCGAACCGGAGTCAGGACCCCAGGACCCGCTCGAACCTTAAAATACCTCAGGACCCAGGACCTGAACCCAGGACCCCAGGACCTCAAAAGACCCCGGGACCTGAATCCAGGATCCTCTTGGACTTCCCAGGACCCCAGGACCCGGGACCCCAGGACCCCCAGGACCCATGAAGACACCCATGAAGACGAGCACCTGGCTGGCGGGCGCGCGCGGGGCGACGACGACGACGGCGGAGGAAGGCGACGACGACGGCGGAGGAAGGCGACGACGACGGCGGCGGAGGAAGGCGCCGACGACGACCCCCCCGGTCCGGACCCCCCCCGGTCCGGACCCCCTGGGTCCGGACCCACTGGGTCCGGACCCCCGGGGGTCCGGACCCTCCCCGGTCCGGACCCTCCCCGGCTCGGACATTTCTGGGCCCCCGTCGCCCCTCCTCCTCTTCCGCCGCCTCCTCCTCCTTGCCCGCCGATGCGGGTTTCCCTGCGGAAGGGGCCGTCCGACGCCGCAGGCAGATCCACCCTCCAAGCACGCCGCCGCCGTCGCCGTCGCCGTCGCCGCCGCCTCCGGTGCCGTCGCCGCTGCGCCGTCCAAGCACGCCGCCGCCGCCGCCTCAGGTGCCGTCACAGCCGACGTTGCAATTTGTTGCAACGTGGAGCCCCACAGCTCTCGACAATGTCCCCGGGGCCGGTTTTTCGTCCTCAACTGTTTTTTTGACAATCCCGGGGCCGGGAGACGGCCTCCGGAGGCCGTCAACAACGATCGGTTGCAGTTTGTTTTCCGTCGCCCGGATTTGAGGCGGCCCCTGCGTGCAGCACGAGCGCTTCTTCTGGCACGTGCGATTCCGGCCGCCGCCCTGCAAGGCTGACGGAGAGGAGGAGAACGGAGAAGGAAGGGTGACGGAGAAGGAAGGGTGACGGAAGCAGGACGGCGAAGGAGGAGGAAAACCTCCGCGGTGCGCCCGCTACGGGGCGCGCCCTCGAGCCCTCGGGTCCGAGGGGGGGGCTGCGGCCGCAGCCGCGCGGATGGCCTCGGAGATCAGCTGCTTCTTTTCGGCGGTATCCGCCGCCGTGCCTCTGGGCACGAATGGGCGTGTCCTCAAGTCCTGTGCCTCAGCCTCTTAGTCCAGTCCTCACTCCTGCGTCTTGTAGGGGCCAGGGCCCGGAGAGCTTTCCAAGACGGCCCAAGAGGCCTGCAAGACGGCCCAAGAGGCCCAAGGTGGCGGATGTGCCGAAGGCAACTAGATAGAGGTCTCGGAGCTCTCGGGGGACGCACACGTCCTTGTATCTCAGTCCGCGGGCGGCCAGCTCCTGCTCCAGCAGCCGTTGTCGCTCCACGGCAGAGCGACGCTTGAGGCTGGGCGCGTCTGTCTCCTCGCTGGCCGCCGCGCCGGCGGCCTCGCGCTCTCGCGGCCGCCGGCGGCCGCAGGGGGGCTCCTCGGGCGCTGGCGTGTTGGCCTCCGTGGGCGCGATCGCGCTCCGGCGCCGCCGCGCCGGGGTGGCGGGGGCAGTCGCCGCAAGCGGCCCCGGGGGCTGCCGCGATGCTGCCGCCGACGGCCCCGCCGAAGGCTGCCCGCGGGGCGCGGCACCGGCCGCTTTCGCCGACCCGGCGCCCGCGCCTGGAGGAGGAGGAGGAGGGAGGAAGGGAGGGCGGATGGAGGAGGGAGGAAGGGAGGAAGGGAGGAGGACGGGAGGAAGGGAGGGAGGAAGGGAGGAAGGGAGGAAGGCAGGGAGGAAGGGAGGAGGAGGGCAGAAGGAATGCAAGGATAATTTGGGCGCCTTGCTGGCCGCCAGACCGCCCGCCGTGGGCGGCAGCCGCGCCTGTCTCTCCTGCTGCTGGCGCGGAAGGGCCGGCGGGCTGCTCCTCCTGTGCTGCTGGCGAAGCCGCCTCTTCAGCCGCTGGCATGGGGGCGTCAACAACGGGCTGCGCGGCCTCCGTCTTCGCCGTCTTCGCTTCTCTCCAAGTCGGCGCCATAAAATCTGCAAAGCTTCTTACCCAGGGCGCCCATGTTGGCCTTCGTCCACGTGGGGCCGACGGTGTACGAGCGGAGCTCCCTCGGCACCCTCAGCTCTGCAGTCGCCGGGTCGTACGCCCCGCGCGTCTGATGGAGAACAGGGAGAAACAAGGAAATGGTGCCCTTGTTGGCGTCCCCCTCGAGGGTGCGCGTCGCCGTCAGGAGCGGCCCCATGGCACAACAAATGTCGACGAGCTCCCTGACGCTGGGCTCGCCCAGGGGCTCTGGGGCAGAGCGCCTGGGGTGGAGGCCGCGAGTGAGGTTGTGAGCCCTGGCGTTCTTGATCAGGGAGACCCAGGACAACAGGGTGCCGGAGAAGCGAGTCTCGCCTTCTTGCGCGAATGCGCAAGTCGGCACGGGCGGGTTCTGGGACGCCGCGTCTGAAACCAAGGCGTCGTACTCGGAGCCGTTGCGGTGGTAGTATTTCACAATGGAACGAGCTTTTTTACACACAGGCTCCATGACCTTGCGAATGGCCAACATTGCGGGGTCAGCTTTTCTCTTGCCGGCAGCAGCCCCCGCGGCGGCGGCGGCGGGCGCGGCCGCGGCGGCGGCGGGTGCGGCCGCGGCGGCGGCGGGTGCGGCCACGGCGGGGGCGGCCGCGGCCGCCGATGACGAAGACGTGGAGCTGGTCGAACCTGAACTCGATTCCGTTGAAGAAGAACTCGCCTTGGCGTGACGTTTTTTCGGCCTCGCTGGCGGGACGCTGTGCTTTCCCGCCAACTGAATCAGATGGCACCCGCACCCAAGGGCGTTCAAGCCCAAGTCGCGAATGCCCTTTCGCGGGGCCGCTTCGTGGTCGGACAGCCCGCAGACGATGTGGTCTGGCGTCAGGCCGGCAGCAGCCAGAGCTTTCTCCAACATTGACTTGTAAGAGGCAGCATTCTTACGGCCGACCATGTGGAACACCTCGAGGACGACCGAGTGGCGTTCGAATTCCAGGTCGCACCAGTCGACGATGATGGCGTTGAAATGTTTCGGACAGAGACCTTTTGTCTTCCAGCTGTCGTATCCGATAGCAAAACGACATCCTTTCTCTGCAGCTGCCCGCACAGCGGCCCTGGACTCCGCAACAATTCCGTCGATGGTGCGGCCGACCTCCTGCGTCATCACAGAGCGGCCGCCGAGCTGGCTCAAGCGGGTGATCCCGTCCCGGGCGTCGTCTGCAACACGCACGGGAATCAGGTTTTTGATGACCATGATGACGGCCCACTCCCGGGTGAGGTCGTGGTCCACACGCCGCACGGCGCAACCCTCCTCGCGGGGGTGCTCGCGCAGACTCTCCGGGATCTCGTCGGCGTGAAAACGCCGCAGATGCCGCAGCATGGAGCCCGTGGAGCTCTCCTGCCACACGCACCCGTCATATTCCATTGACGGCATGAAGCCTGAGTCCATGAGAGTTTTCACATTGAGCACAACAGGTTGTTCGTCCGGCCAGCAGATCTTGCAGAACCGATAGTTGCTGGACAGAGGACGTTTTTCGTGGAAGAACTGGTGCGCCCCTCGCGCCGAACGCATCGCAGCCAAGGCGCAGGAAGGGGAGCTCTCACAGAAGCCAGGAAGCCGGGGACTACTGCCGACACAGCTTCGACGACAGCGGCTCTCGAACCAAAACGGCTACGGAACTTTCAGCCGTGGAGGTCCAGACCCAGACCTCGGACGCCAGGCTTCAACCTTGAACGCCTGGGGGGGGCGAACCTGGCTGACCGCTGGAAGGCGGGCCCCTTTGGCGGCCCCCCCGCGCGAGGGCAGGGGGCCGCCTCCGGGGTACCCGGGTCCCGAGGGACCACCCCGGCAGCAGTCAACCGCACGTCCCCCCGACCCAAGAGAGCCCCAAGAGGAGCCCACAGTCCGGACCCCCTGGGTCCGGACCCCCTGGGTCCGGACCCCCTGGGTCCGGACCCCCCCGGTCCGGACCCCCTGGGTCCGGACCCCCCCGGTCCGGACCCCCTGGGTCCGGACCCCCTGGGTCCGGACCCCCCTGGGTCCGGACCCCCCCGGTCCGGACCCCCTGGGTCCGGACCCCCTGGGTCCGGACCCCCTGGGTCCGGACCCCCCCGCCCCTGGTCCGGACCCCCCCCCCCGTCCGTCGTCACCCCCCCGTCCGTCGTCGTGGTCCCCCGTCCGTCGTCGTCGTGGTGCTCGTGGTCGTGGTCGTGGTCGTGGTCGCGGTCGCGGTCGCGGTCGCGGTCGCGCGGTTACCTTCGCGCCCTCGCGAGGCCTCCTTGGAGACATGCAATTCTGCGGCCCAGGCCGCGACGCGCGAAGCGCGATTATCTTCTTGCGTTTTCTTCAACGAGAGAAGGAGGAGGAGGAGGAGGAGGACGAGGAGGAGGAGGAGGAGGAGGAGGAGGACGAGAGGAGGAGGAGGAGGAAGGAGGAGGAGGAGGAGGTGCAGCGGCGGCCAGCGGGCGGCCAGCGGCCAGCGGCGGCCAGCGGACAGCGGCGACGGCCAGCGGCGCACCTCGGACCGTGCAGTCGGCCCCAGAATGGGGCAGCGCGCGAGGACGCCGAAGGGCCGGTCTCGTCCTCGTCCTCGTCCTCGTCACTCGGTCCTCGCCTCGCCATCGTCCTCCTCTCCGCCTCCTCATCTTCTTCTTCCTCCTCATCCTCCCCTCCTCTTCCTCCTCTTCCTCCTCCTCCTCCTCCCTCGCCCCCACTGTCCCCATCCCCGTCGGGGCTGCCGATCGGGACGGCCTGGAATCGAAGCGAATCGAAATCGGGCTGACTGAAATCGCCTCTGCATGGATGCGAAACCGGCCGAACCAACCGAACCGAACCGGCCGAACCGGACCGGTCGGAACACATAAAACCGAACCGGTAGAACCGAACCGGCCGAACCGAACCGGTCGAACCGAACCGGTCTACGACAAAGAACCGAACCGGTCGAACCGAACCGGTTTGCGACGCGAACCGGAACCGGTCGAACCGAACCGGTCGCACATCGAACCGAACCGGACCGGACCGAACCGCGGCTTTCATGATATGTGCATCCCATTCTCTTGGTACGTCTTTCTCTTGACATCTGTCAATGAGCGCCTGTGTGCGAGGGTGAACCGCTCGCTCGAGACATTCCCACAGTCTGCAAGCATGAGTGCGACCAATAGCAACTCTGAGAGCGACTGATTCTGGGTGTGAGTTAATCTGGGTGCGATTGAGCCTGGGTTCGAGTGGGTATGCGCGTGAGTAAATATGAGCGCGAGTGGTCTGGGTGTGGCGGATCGTAGCATGATGAGTCTGAGCATGAGTGGCTCTGGGCTTGAGTGGGTCTGAGTGTGAGAAAAAAGTTAGTGCTCATGAGTCTGAGTGCGAGTGAGCCGAATGTGATTGGGTATGGATGTGAGGCAGTCTGAGTGTGAGTCGGTCTGCGTCTGAGCGGACCGAAGGATGATGAGTCTGAGCAGGAGCGAGTCTGAGTATGAGTGGTTCTGAGCGTGAGTCTGAGTGTGACTCAGTTTAAGTATGGATATGAGCGGTTCTAAGTGCGAGTGGGCCTGCGTGTGACTGAGTCTGAGTATGAGTGAGTATGAATGCAGAAGAGTGAAGGAGAGCGGAGAGCGAAGGAGAGTGAGGCGGAAGCGTTTGAGTAAAACCTAAAGCCTTGGAACATCGAACCTCGATCGTCTGGCCCTGGCTACTCGAGTTGCCCACGTCCTCCTCCTCCTCCTCCTCATCATCATCAATTTCATCATAATCAACGTCACTCATCATCAGCTCAATCAACCTCCTGACTTCTTGCTCCTACCCGTGTGCATGCTGTCCTACATCTCCTCCTCCTCCTCGCTTCCTCCTTCTCTTCCTCCTCCTCCTCCTCCTCCTCCTCCTCCTCCTCCTCCTCCTCCTTGGGAGTGCTGAAACCAGCAAATCGCTTGAGACATCCTCGCAAAACTGCTCCGAAAACGACAGATGCCCAGCATCATAACGGCCAAACCGCCTGAGACATCCCCGCAAACTGGGCGCGAACGTCCTCCAAATCTGCTCCGAAAGCGAAACATGTTGGAAGAAAAAACGGCCAAACCGCCTGAGACATCCCCACAAAACCCCGCGAAAGGGGCCGAGTGAAATACCCCTCCGCCGCTCCCCTTAGAGTGCTGAAACCAGCGAATCGCCTGAGACATCCTCCAAATCTGCCCCGAAAGCGAAACATGTTGGAAGAGAAAACGGCCAAACCGCCTGAGACATCCCCACAAACTCCCGCGAAAGGGGCCAAGTGAAATACCCCCCCGCCGCCCCCCCTAGAGTGCTGAAACCAGAGAATGGCCTGAGACATCCTCCAAATCTGCTCCGGAAGCGAAACATGTTGGAAGAGAAAACGGCCAAACCGCCTGAGACATCCCCACAAAATCCAGCGAAAGGGGCCGAGTGAAATACCCCCCCGCCGTTCCCCTTAGGAGTGCTGAAACTGGCGAATCGCCTGAGACATCCTCCAAATCTGCTCCGAAAGCGAAACATGTTGGAAGAGAGAATGGCCAAACCGCCTGAGACATCCCCACAAAATCCCGCGAAAGGGGCCGAGGGAAATACCCCCCCGCCGCTCCCCTTAGGAGTGCTGAAGCCACAGAATCGCCCGACACATCCTCCACATCAGTGGGTGTGTGTCATCCGATGAGTGGACCTGAGTGAGTGTAGTGAATGTATGAGTACAAGTACGAGTGAGTCTGATGAGTGAGTCTGAGTGATGAGTGAGTCTGAGTGATGAGTGATGAATCTGAGTCATGACTGAGTCCGAGAGATGAGTGGGTCTGAGTGATGAGTGAGTCTGAGTGATGAGTGGGTCTGAGTGATGAGTGAGTCTGAGTGATGAGTGAGTGGGTCTGAGTGAAAGGAGTGGTGTGTTCTCTCTCCTCCGGCGCGGTCCGCCAATAATTATTCACTGCGTGGAGCTCCCCATATGTGCATCTATTCGCATGGACCTGTCCGCCGTGAATGTCTAGGCGCAAGAGCTTTCGGATATACACGGGCTTCAGTTGTGACGGTCTGGACATAAATCTAACTGCGAATGGATTGGAGTGTGAATGAGCCTCAGTAGTACGAGCGCGTCTTTGTGCATGAGCCTGGGGCCTCCTGGGGCCTCCTGAAACCTACTGGGGCTTCCTGGGGTCTCCAGGAGCCTCTTGGGGCCTCCTGGGACCTCCTAGGGAGGTTTCGTGTCCCAGGAGAGGCGCAATCTATAGCAACAGACGTACATAAAACATTGTGGATTAGAGCCACAGGAGAAGGGCAATCTATAGGAACACGCGTAAAACACCAAGGACTCGTGCCCCAGGAGAGGCCCAATAGGTAGGAACATAAGTAAAGCATGTAGGATTGTGTACACAGGAGAAGGACAATATATAGAAACATACGTATAACATCAAAGAATCGTGCTCCAGGTGAGGCCCAATCGATAGGAGCATACGTAAAACACATGGGATTGGAGCCACTCCTGTTGCCTTCTGAGGCCTCCTGCTCCTGGGGCCTCTCGGGGCCTCCTGTTGCCTTACGAGGCCTCCTGGCGCTTCCTGTTGCCTCCTGGGGCCTCCTGTGGTTTCCTGAGGCCTTCTGGAGCTTCCTGGGGCCTCCTGGAGCCTATTGGGACATCCTGTGGCCCCTTGAGTCTTTCTGTGGCCTCCTGATGCCTCCTGGGACCTCATGTGGTCTCCTGGGGCCTCCTGGAGCCTGTTGGAGCCTCCTGTGGCATCCTGAGAAGAATCTGCGCCCACGAGCCTGGCCACCAAAACAAGCAAACCGATCGAGACATCCTCAACATCTGGCCCACCTGGGGGGTGAAAATGAGCGCCTCGCTCGAGACATCCTCCAAAACTTCTGCTCCGGAAAGCGAAGGATGTTGGCCACAGAAAACAACAAACCGCAACCGCTCTGAGACATCCCCACAAAATCCCGAACGGTACCCCGTGAAATACCCACCGGACGCCCCCTTAGAGTGCTAGACGAGGCGAATGCTGCGACATCCTCCAAATCTCTTCCGAAAAAACGGGAAACAATGTTGGATCAGAAAAGGCCCAAACCGCCTGGAGACAATCCCCACAAAATTCCTGCGAACGGGACCCCGTGAAATACCCCCCCCCCGCCCCCCTTAGATTGCTGAGACGAGCGAATCGCCTGGGTCTGAGTGATGACTGAGTCTGAGTGATGAGAGAGCATGAGTGAGTCTGAGTGATGAGTGAATCTGAGTGGTGAGTCTGAGTGATGAGTGGTGTGTCTGAGTGAGGACTGAGTCTGAGTGATGAGTGAGTCTTGATGAGTGAGTCTGAGTGATGAGTGAGTGGGGAATCAATTACTCACTGCGTGGAGCTCCCCATCTGTGCATCTATTCGCATGGACCTGTCCGCCGTGAGTGTCTAGGCGCAAGAGCTTTCGAATATACACGGGCTTCAGTTGTGACGGTCAGGACATAAATCTAACTGCGAATGAATTGGAGTGTGAATGAGCCTCAGTAGTACGACCGCGTCTTTGTGCATGAGCCTCGGGCCTCCTGGGGCCTCCTGAAACCTACTGGGGCTTCCTGGGGTCTCCAG